TCTGCCACAAAAGCAGCGCTGTGCCTGATGGGTTTATTTCTCTTTGAGTGGATAAGGCTGAATGTGGATGGGTCTGCACAGGAGGGCAGGGCTGGGTAGCTAGCTTCTCCTGCCAGAAGCTGCGCCTGCTACAGCTCCTCATGGACAGGCCGTCTAACAGCATGAAGGTCTCTGTGGAAAAATAAAAAATAAAATCTAAAGCTCCACTGAACTTGTTCTTTTGAGAATAAGCAACACTGGAGAAGTTGTTTTGGCTCTGTGCCCCTAATTTTCAGTTATGTGTGCAGCCCAAACCTCTGTGTGTGTGTGTATCCACAAAATTCAGGGCTTCCCTCTTGCTAGGCAGGTGCTCTACTACTTGAGCCACACCCCTACCCCTTACTTTTAAGTTTGTTTTTCAGATAGGGTCTCAGACTTTTGCCTGGAGTCAGCCTCCAATCTTGAGCCTCCTGCCTCCCTTTATCTTCCAAGTAGCTGAGATTACAGGTAGAAGTTTAGGCATCTGGTCTAACTATATATGTTTCTTGCTGAGAGATCAGTAAAAATTTCTTAAAGTGCTCAGCCTGGTTGTTCCTCCAAGGAGATAGTTCTGGTTTTGTTTTTGTTTTTATTCCCCCCTCCCCATCATATCTAGGCCAAGGATATCACAGGAAATAGGGAAATTTAAACTTGACTTCTTTTTTCTTTTTTTGGGGGGGTCCGGTTGTGGGGCCTGAACTCTGGGCCTGGGCACTGTCCCTCAGCTCTTCAGCTCAAGGCTAACGTTCTACCACTTGAGCCACAGTCCCACTTCCGGCTTTTTTCTTTTTGCTTATGTGGTGCTGAGGAATCGAACCCAGAGCCTCAGGCATGCAAGGCAAGCGCTCTACCACTGAGCTACCTTCCCAGCCCCTAAACTTGACTTCTAATGAGAGTTTTGTCATTCAGGTGTGCCACCAATGGAGAAAAAGGGAAGAAAAAGACAACCAGCATCTATTATGCACCTGCTGTCTGCCCAACATGATCACAAATGATAACTCACTGAAACCTGAAAACAATAGTTGGTAGAAAATTAGCTTTACTAAGAAAGGAGAAGACTTAAGCACTCTCTCAAGGTCAAATGACAAGAGGTGAAACTGGGGTTTAAAGAAGATCCATTAGACTCCAAAGCTAAAGCTGCCTATCAGGAAATTCAGTCTAGTAAAAAAAAAAAAAGTCTTTTTTATGGTTCTGAGATTTGAACTCAGCATCTTGCACATACTAAATAGGTGCTCTACCACTTGAACTGCATTTCTAGTTCTTTTTACTTTATTTTCTTCAGATCCTGTGATTTAAATTTTTTTTTTTTTGTCCAGAGTGAGCTTTGACCTGGATCCTCTACTTTCTCAAGTAAGCTGGGATTACAAGCATGCACTACTATGCCCAGCCTGCAAAATCTGCTCTGGAAAGGGTCTTAGAATTTTAGTATGCATGAAGGGAGATTAGTCAGCATCCTTTAGAGCTTTCCACCTCTCCTTCCCCCCATCCCAACATATTGCGATTCAGCATGGAAGATAGTTCCTCTGCATGTGTTCTAGAGTTCACACCCCCATCTCAACTTCCCAAGTGCCAAGAGATTGAAATGTAAAAAAAAAAAAGTCTCTGATGAGATCCTCTTGTCACCAGAGTAGAAATTAGCACATTTCCAAGAAGGCCAAGCTAAAAATGCATGTGAGAAGATCCAGGGAGCCAAGCAGATGGGACAATAAAAATGGAGGTAGCCTGGCCTCCCCAGGTTCCCCAGCCCCTGGCTGAGGCCCACACTGGGCTCAGCTGGCCTGGGAACAGCCAAGAGGAGAAGGAAGTGGGTGGTTACTATGTTGTGGCCTTGTTGCACAGCTGTGCAAGTCAGTGAGGGAAGGAAAATCTGGGGGCCACGCACAGAATCGCCTCGTGGGTAGCATGAGTCAGACACAGACTGTGTGTCAATCAAAGATGCTGTGCAGGGCAGTTTCAATCACAGCGCCAGCAGCCTCTTCTGATGGGGTTTACCTGCACGAGCAACCTGCCTGTCAACACATGGTTCAAAGCACACACAGAAAAATCAACAATGATCTTGTGAAACTTCAGGCTCATGCATCAAAGACTTTCTCTTCCCCCAACTACCAAACTCTTAAATAAAGTCCGAAGCTACAGAAGTCAGACGCAGCTACAGAATCTGGCACTAGAGAATTGAGCCTAAGAAAGGAATCCTGAGAAGAGGAAGAGCTTGCTCAAAACCGTCTGGCAGGCCTGGGGGCCAGTCGTTCACATCTGTAATTGTAGCAGCTCAAGAGGCTGAGATCTGAGGATTGTGGTTTGAGGTCTTGGCAGAAAAGTCTGTGAGACTCCTCTCTCCAATTAACCAGCAGAAGGCTAGAAGGGGAGGTGTGGCTCAAGTGGTACAGAGTCAGCCTCAAGCAGAAAAAGCCAAAGGAGAGAGTGAGGCCCTGAGTTCAAGCCCGCAAACTAGCAAAAGAACAAACAAAACAAAACAACAACGACAAAACCTGACTAGTGACAATGGCCTAGTCTCTGTAAATGAGGCTTTCTGATTTATTGATCACCAGAGCAAATAACAATCTCCAGTGTTGAATCCTGGCCTCTGGTTGTTTTGTGATGCTTTTTGTTTGTTTTGGTGCCAGTCCTGGGGCTTGAACTCAGGGCCTGAGTGCTTGCTGCCTCTGAGATTTTCCCACTCAAGACTAGCCACAACTTCACTTCTGACTTTTTGGGGGGTTAATTGGAGATAAGAGTCTCATGGACTTTACTCCCTGGGCTGGTTGGGACCATGATCCTCATATCTCGGCCTCCTGAGTATTAGGATTACAGGCGTGAGCCACCAGCACGCAAGTCTTGGTGCCTTCATATATTGAAATCTCTTGTTAAGGAAATTTAAGAGTAATTATTTTGGGATCGATGCTATTTTTGTGTCTTTTTGTACACTGTCTTCTTTGTTCCAGGAGGAAATTAGAATTCTGGAAATACATTTGCTTTTATTTAATTATTAAAAGAACAAGCCTCTATTTCAAGTAGTTACAAATAGGAATCATTAGTCTGTCTAGAAAGGGCATACGCGGCTGAAACAAGTGACAATAATCTAGCGCCATGTGCAATTAGGACCACCCCCTCTCAGAGCTGGCAGTAAAAGAATGTCTGTCTGCTCTGTGAGTCGAAATTGAGAAAAGTGATATTTGATATGGATTGTTCTGAGCAGGTCTGAATTTGATGTTCTACACAAGAGTAACATTTTATAAAGTGCTTCTAAATGATATTTTTCATGATTGCTCTTTGTCAGTGTGGCTTTATTTGTGCTTTTGGAGACTTCAGGGAGGCAGAGTAAGAAGGACCAAGGAAAATGAAGTTATTAGCCAGGCTCTGGTGATGCATGCCTGTAATCCTTGCTACTAAGGAGACAGATCTGAGGTCGGTGGTTCGAAGCCTGGGCAGGAAAGCCAATGAGAGTCTTTTTCCCCAAAAAGCCAGAAGTGGAGGGATGCTCAAATGGTAGAGACCCAGCCTTGAGCAAAACAGCAAAAGACAGCACACAAGCCTCCAGTTCAAGTCTCAGCACTAGACACACACACATACACCCCTATTTCTCTGGGATAGAGACCAACAAAGACCCTACCTATCACTCATTTCTCTCTTCTATCCCTTTTCCTCCTAAGGTTTATTCTTACTTGAACTGAATCATCTTCCACTATAGACCCAGTTTTCCTGTCTCTAGTTTTTACCCTTGAAGATATTTTCCTGAATAGAACTTTTCATAGAATTGAGCCACAGCGTCCTTGAAAACCTCCCAACTTATTTACATAACGGAAGCTATTGTTTGAAGTGCAAAGCAGGTCAGACTTTGGTTTCTAGAGATTAATCACTGCAGCCTATTTTATATTATCATAATAATTTCATTTATTTTGATACAATTTGTTTTCAGAATCAACCCTCAGCTTCCAGGGCCCAAGTGACAAATCCATTTGTTTCTGGTTAGAATGAATAATGTGATTAATGACCTTGCAACAAGATTTCTTTAAAAACTAGGGAGAGAAAAGGAGGGAGGAAAAAAAAAGAAAAAGAAAAGGAAGATTTCCATTTTTAAAAAAATAGGCAGCAAACCAGCTCAACTGGGCATCCAATCGCTCTGAACTTGTTTGTAAACTACAGGTGAGGTTTTGTAGCCATTTTGCTCCTCCCTTTATGGTATTTTTGAGGGGGGAAGGGAGATGTTTCCATCTATTACCTGGTCTCCCCAAGAACTGAGGACAGTGGTCTCCAGCTGGGGAGATGGGCGTAGTGGGATTCCCATCCCTAAGAACAGGGCACTATTTCACAAGGGGGCACCACCGTGATGACCCCAGAGGGGTCTTGGCATAAAGGTCAGCTGTGCCCCGGTGGGGGTGGGGCTGCCATGTGACCGTGTGGCTGTGCCAGGTCCCCACTTCCGGCTGGCATTTGGTGAGGGGAGGAGGAGGGAGCCTGGACTAGAACATTCTCTCCGTGTTCTGGGGCCTGGGTTACAAGGACCCACTGGGCGATCGGGACTGTTCCACCCATGCTGCGGCTCCTTCCCGCCTCCAGCAATGACGAACCCGCGCGGAGGTGGCTCATTCCGGCGACCCAGGTTCGAATTCCGCCGGGGGTGGTGGCACGGTGGTGGTTCTTTTTGGAAAGTGGGGTGACGCCGCCCTCAGGGCTTTCCTTTCCGTGCCGGAAGTCCTCAGCCACCCCGCAGGCGCTTTCCAGGGCACAAAGGCTGTTTTGGACCCCGTCCTCGCTTTCGGGGCGCCTCGGCGGCCCGGTGCTCGTGTCTGAGGCTCCTTCCCACGCGCTCGCCCAGCGGCCCCGAGAGCCGTGAGAAACGCCTCCGCCACGCCCTCCTCGTGACGCGCACCGGGACGGACCAATCAGAGGTCTCGGCGCGCGCCCCACCCGCCTCAGACCACGCCCCCTCCACTTAAGAAAGGGCGCACGGGCCGAGCCGAGGCTAGTGCGCCGCGCCAGGCGGAGGGTGCGGCTGGGCGGCCGAGGGTGGCGCTGGTTCCCGGAGTGCCCTCGTCCTCGCGCGCCCCGACGGTGCTCAGACGGCGCCCATCCAGGCTGCGGTGAGCCGAGCGGCGGCGAGATGTGGGCGCTGCTGGCCGCCGGCGTAGCGCTGGTCGTGGTCACCGGGGCGCAGGACAACCCGGTGCCCGGCAGCCGCTTCGTGTGCACCGCGCTGCCCCCGGAGGCGGCGCGGCCCGGCTGCCCGCTGCCCGCGATGCCCATGCAGGGCGGCGCGCTGAGCCCCGAGGAGGAGCTGCGGGCGGCCGTGCTGCAGCTGCGAGAGACCGTGGTGCAGCAGAAGGAGACGCTGGGCGCCCAGCGCGAGGCCATCCGCGAGCTGACGGGCAAGCTGGCGCGCTGCGAGGGGCTGGCGGGCGGCCGGGCGCGGGGCTCGGGCAAGGACACCATGGGCGACCTGCCGCGGGACCCCGGCCACGTCGTGGAGCAGCTCGGCCGCTCGCTGCAGACGCTCAAGGACCGGCTGGAGAGCCTGGAGGTAGCGCCGCGCCGGAGGAAGGGGGACGGGGAGAAGGGGGGGGGGGAACAGACCCCCCTGGACGGGCGCGATCGCCCGCAGGGTGAGCTCAATTTGGGGGTGCCAGGGGAGAGTCCCAGTCCTGCTCTGGACCTTGTTTGCATCGCACCCCATCCTACCCGCCCTCCTCGGCTGGAAAGGGTTAAATCTCACCTTTTACTTTTGCGCTTTTGGATAGATTGTGGTGAACTTCCCCAAAGCCCTGGCTCTCCATCCCCTCCCCCCCCCCCCCCCCCGCCGCCCTCCCCACCTCCCCGCCCCGAGTCCTTAGGATAGGAAACCAAGTTGGACGCAAAATACTCAGTGATCTGGCAGCCTCTTACTCATTTTCTGGAAGAAAAAAATAAAAATCTCCCCCCAGTGTGCACGAGCCGAGTTCGGTGGCCCGCGCCCAGCCCTGCGCGCCGTGCCCAGAGGCCCGCTCCCACTGGGCTTGCGTGGTCCTTTGTCAGTGGGGGGGCCCGAGCAGAAAGGGGGTCACCGGTGACCCCAGATTTCGCACCCAAGCTAACCTCACGTTCATTTCGACAATGCCTCTTTAAGCTAGCTGCACCGTGGCCCGGCATCTTGGAAGGGGAGCCCTTCCCTGTGTCCTTCCCTCCACCCCCCCCCCCCCCAGCTGTGTGCTGTTGGGAACTCTGACGGAGAAAAATCCTCCAGACATTTTCATCTGAACTTTTCCATCCCTCTGTGGATGAGGCGCGGAATTTCCTGTCCAGTTGCCCGCTCTCCCCCCCCCTCCAAAAAAAATAACTAGATGCAGAAGTATGTTTCAAGAAAGTAGTGATCGCTGCTGATATATTGGAGGGTTTCTTGGGGCTCGCTGGGTGTGAGTACAGTATTTTCCAGTTCTGTGCCGCTGTTACTAACACCTAACATTGTTCCCCACCCCAGTACCAGATGTGAATCAGATGGGCCACTGAATCTGAAGCCTTCCCGTAGTGAATGGGGTGGGGTAGTGGGGAGAGGGAGGACTCTCGCTTTTTGCAGTTTATTATTTGGAACGCTGGGGGTCAAGAGCCAGGGAGGATTGGGAAAATAATTAGGAGGAAAAGGCTAAAAAAACTGTCCTGTTTTATGCTGTCCCTTTTCCAGTAATTTCTCTGCGAGCAGAGTTATCTTTGTGCCATTCCGCAGCTAGGGGAGACCGTTCTTCCTTTCTAGATAAAAGCTGTCCACCCTTGAGTACCATTGACTCACGCTGTAAAGAAGAAGAAAAAAAATCCTCGGTGTTTCGGTCTTTATCTGACCTAGAATTACATACAGGTTGGTTAAAATTGAGACTTTTTTAGTAAGGAGAGAAAAGCGGAGCTTTTTATTTTTAAATAGGGCAAAAAAAAAGAGATTCACAAATTTCAACTAGTGCAGCCAAGTCATTCTTGCCCGGCTTTGAAATCCTACTCGCCCCCCCCCCCCACCAAAAGAAAAAGCATCAATGCCAATGTTCCCCTTTGGGTTTGGAAGTTTCTCATGCGGTGGGGTCACCTGAGCTCAGAGATTAGGAGGGGCGGAGGTCGGAGGTCACTGTGTCTGTGTCCCCCCCCCCCCCCAGCACCAGCTCCATACCAACGTGTCTACCGCCGGCCTGCCCAGCGACGTGCGCGAGGTGCTCCAGCGGCGGCTGGGGGAGCTGGAGCGGCAGCTGCTCCGCAAGGTGGCCGAGCTGGAGGACGAGAAGTCGCTGCTGCACAACGAGACATCTGCTCACCGGCAGAGAACAGAGAGCACGCTGAACGCGCTTCTGCACCGGGTGAGCGAGCTGGAGCGAGGTACGTGTGGGCCCTGCCCTACTTGCCCTGCACTACTCTACCCTACCCTACCTGCACCTGCCCTGCACGTCTGTGTCTCTGTGGGAGTGGCCTGGATTCCAACACTTGGGGGATGTTTATGAAAAGATGTTGACTGACAAAGCCCCGTCCCAGCAGGACTCCGCCCTCCCCACCACCCCTTGGGAGAGCCCAGGACCTGGGATGGGGGTGTGGCTTAACAGCCTGATGTGACCTGACACCCAGCCCCCCTCCCAGGCGTCCTGCTCTCCCTCCCTTCACTCACCCTTGCCCCAGGTGCTGTGACTGCCTCCCCCTTGCCTTCCCTGGTTATTAAGTTTCTTCCCCGGGATGCAGAGAGGTCAGATGGCCTAGATAAGACTAGGCACTGGGGGTGAATTCCTGAAACCCTACCTATTCAGAAGGCTGAGATCTGAGGACCGCAATTCGAAGCCAGACCTGGGAAGACAAATCTGAGAGACCCTTCTCTTCCAATTAACCAGCAAAAAAACAAAAACAAAAACAAAAAGCAACTTCCCCCCCCCAAAAAAAAACACAAAAAAGCCTAGAGCTGTGATTCAAATGGTAGAGTGTTAGCTTTAAGCGAAAAACCAAGCAAGAGTGGGTGGCTGGCCTTGGGTTCAAGCTCCAGTATTAGCATGTGTGTACACCACACACACACACACACACACACACACACATACACACTCACACACACACACACATACACACTCACACACACACACACACACACACCAGATACTCTAGATACTTCAGATTATGGTACCAGCTCTGTTCTCTGGGTGGCCCAGGTGTGAGGTTTTCCACTTGCTGGACATGAGTAGCAGATTCTAACCTCACACATACCAGGCCCACAAGGTAATTTCTAAGAGTTTCCTCAGTTGTTAGCAGCATGTCCTCTGGAGCGGCCAAGGAGGCCCTGATGGAGAAGGATGTGGGGTACACATCCCCCCCCCCATCATGGGTCTCCACCCTTGCCCTCCATAGAACAGAGTAAGTGTGGCTGCCCATGTGGCTCAGATGCTTCTGTTTCTGGAACTTTCCTCCCTCCTCTGGGGGCGGGGAGATATCAGGAGACTCGTTTTAGCTGGCAGAGCCTCCCTAAGGCCACAACCAGGGCCACAGAGGCCTGTGTCACCTGACAGGGGGAAGGACGTGTGGAGCACAGGTAAGAGTGGATCCTGCCACCAGCCTCCCCAGAGTGGACAGTGGGGACACTCAGCCATAGCGTCGGCATGCTGCATTTACCAATTAACTGTCTTCGAAGGGGTGGAGGGAGGGCTCTGCTGGGGCCACTGAGGCACCAAGGGCTGTGTGCCTCACCTGGGCTAACAGCCGTGTTGCTAGGAGACACACTAAGAAAAGTCATACTGACTTAAGGATCATGCCCAGTGGCTCACGACATAATCATGGCTACTTGAGAGGTGGACAGGAAGTTTGAAGCGGGGGGGGGGGGGGGGGGGTGTGGAGTGTGAGGGAGGGTGTGGGGGGGCGATTATCTGTCTCAACAATTTAAAATGGATGTGGTGGCTGGTGCTTGTAATCCCAGCAACTCTGGAAGTGGAGATTGAAGAGGGAGGATGAAGGGCTGGGAAGGTGGTTCAGTGGTAGAGCGCTTACCTTGCATGCGTGAAGCCCTGGGTTCGATTCCTCAGCACCACATGAGCAGAAAAAGCTGGAAGTGGCGCTGTGGCTCAAGTGGTAGAGTGCTAGCCTTGAGCTGAAGGGCTGAGGGACAGCGCCCAGGCCCAAAGCTCAGGCCCATGACTGACAAAAAAAAAAAAAAGGAAGAAGAAGAAGTTGTTGTTCAGTAACAGTGCTCAGGCCCTGAGTTGAAGCCTCAGGACTGGCAAAAAAAAAAAAAAAGATGAAGAGGATGAAGGCCAGTCTGGGCAAAACGTTAGTGAAGCCCCTCCCCCACCTCAAGAAATAACCTGTTGGGCTTAATTGATAGAATGTCTACCTAGTAAATGCCAAGCCATGAGTTCTATCTCCAGTACCAACAAAGAGGGAGGGGAGGGAAGGAAGGGAGAGAGAATGAGGAAAGAAGGAAAGGAGAGAGAAAGAGAGAGGGAGAGAGAGAGAGAAAGCTGTGTGTGGTGGTGCATGTCTGTAATCCCAGCTACAAGGGAGTCATAGCATAGGAAGATAAAAGTCTGAGAGCAGGCAGGAGCAGGTTTGGGTTGTACTGGCATGCCTTCAGCTGCTCTGGCCCAGAGTCTGGGGGAGGGGGGAAGGGGGCTGCCCTTTGACTCTAGCATGGGAAACCCTGGGGTTCTTCATGGGCTGTACCTACTCTGTGCTGGCTGAGCCTGTGGGCACAATGGCCATTTGCTGCCTAGGGCTTTTCTGTGTGGGGAGGGATGTCAAGTGCTTAATACACACACACACACACACACACACACACACACACACACACACACACACACACACCTGTATGCAAATGAGTGGGAAACCTACCATATTCTTAGAAGCATCCACCTGAGTTCAGAGATCAGCCTCAGCCATGTAGCAAGTTGGGAAGTGGGGGGTTGGGGGGTTTCAGCCTGGCCAGGGCTGGGCTAAAGGGCTGTTGAAATCCTGAAATCTGAAGAGACTAGATTTCCTCTTCCCTCCTCCCACTTCCCTCTTCCTCTCTTTTTTCCCTCTCCTTCCTGTCCCCAGCCACCCACCTCCCCCCCTTCCTTAGGCTCCTCTGCCACCCACAGTTTCTGATTTATTGGTCAGGCCTTTTAATTCCTTAATTGGTTTTAACTGAGTTTCCTCTGAACCTCCAAGCTGTTTTCTTGAAATAAAAGCCTTTGGTGTTCTGGGCGTGGCTCACTTGGCTGCCCCTTCCGTCCCAGCTCTCATTAAGCCTATCTGTTGTCACCACGCTAACAATATTATCAACACTGAGCCTTATTAAATTGGCAAACCTGCCCACCTGCAGGTGTGGACGCCATCTCTCTTTATTAGGTAATGATGTCTTCATTAGGAACAGGGCCATTTGCTACTTGGAGGCTGAGCCTTAGGGGCTGGCCGCAGGCAGGCAGGGGCAGGAGGGACCTCTGTCCTGCTCTATTGTCCATTAGCTGTGTGACCTTGAGCAAGTCATCTGTTACTCTGGCCTAGGCACCGCATTTGTGCAACCCGTAAGGCTGGGGAGGGGTTTCTGGTTCTTCCTTTCCTTTCTTTTCCCTTTCCCTTTCCTCTCTCCCTCCTCTCTTTCTCCTCTCCCCTCCCCTCCCCTCCTCTCCTCTCCCCTTCCCTTCTTTTCCTTCCTTTCTGTTCTTTCTTGGGTTTGAACTCTGAGCCTTGCTCTGGCTGGAAAGGTGCTCTACCATTCAAACCTCATCCCCACTTTTTTGACTTTTAGTTTTCTGTTCAAATAGCATCCTCAGCTTTATCCCCGCCTCGCATCAGACTGAGCTTTGATCTCGGCTTCCTAAATAGCTCGGTTTACTCTTGGTGCCAGCACACCTCCTCCTGTCTCCACCTCCCAAGTAGCTGGGATTACAGCTGTGAAACACTCTGCTCGTCCTAATGGGTGGAAGAGTAGGGAAGGTCTCTGCTTTTACTTTGGCCTGCCCAGGTCTTTCAAGCCTGGGAGGAGGAGGAGGCAGGTGAGGGCAGAGGCCTTAGCCCTTTTAACTCTAGGTTGCTTTTCAGATAATAGTCTTGAATTTTTTGCCTGGGGGCCTCTGACATAGGGTACCACCATGTCCAGCTTGATTGTTGAGATGGGGGTTTCCATAACTTGTTGCCTGGACTGGCCTTGAACTTCAGTCCTCCTATCTCAGCCTCCTGAGTAGCTGGGATCACAGACATGTACCACCCCATCTGGCCTTCTTCTGGATTGAAAGAGACTTCTTTTTCCATCTTACTCAATGGAACTGCTGCATCGCCCACAGATTATTTCTTTTCTCCTCACCACCCACCTCCTTACTGGTACCTGGGGTTTTCATCTCCATTCTTCACCCCATCCAATGGGTCCTCCACTCCCCCACAACTCCTTTCGCAGTAGGAATCCCTGCCAACCCTGCCTCCCTTTATCTGCTAATGTCCAACAAAATAGAAGCTTCTGGAAGGCAGAGCTGCCTCTTCAATTGCTGGGATTTAGCACTTGAAACATTACTTCGGTCCCTCTGGGGTGTGTCTTAGATAGGGGTCTTGGTGAGTCTTTGCAGGCCAAGTTGGAAGATGGGCCAAACACACCAGACACCTCTTTCCCCCCATTTTCTGCAGGCAACAGTGCATTCAAGTCTCCGGACGCCTTCAAGGTGTCCCTCCCTCTCCGCACCAACTACCTGTATGGGAAGATCAAGAAGACGCTGCCCGAGCTGTACGCCTTCACCATCTGCCTGTGGCTGCGGTCCAGCGCCTCGCCGGGCATCGGCACCCCGTTCTCCTATGCCGTGCCCGGGCAGGCCAATGAGATCGTGCTGATTGAGTGGGGTAACAACCCCATCGAGCTGCTCATTAATGACAAGGTGAGGCCCTCCTGTGGAAGTAGGGGCTGCCACGGGGTCAGCACCTGACCGGCCTGGACCGCACCGCAGCCCCTCCCCACGTTGTGTGTGGAGCAGGCATCCACATGGCAGGGACAACAGTGCCCTGAGCCGGGCCCACCCTGGGCAGGGGGTTGGGATGGGGTCAGCTGCAGGCCCCGGAGCTCCAAGCTCTGTGTGAGCCTGGCCCAGAGGCAGCAGAGGGTCCAGGTCCTGGGGCAGGAAGTGAGGCCGGAGACAGCAGTCTCTGCCAGGACTCACCTGTTGCACAGGTGAGTGCCCAAGGATGTGTGCAAGTGTGTGTGTGTGCAAGTGTGTGTGTGTAAGAAGCTTCTGGGTACATCTTTCCTGAGGAGTCAGGTGTGTTGAGATAGTGAAATTTATTTATTTATTTATTTTTGAGACAGAATCTTAGCTATGTGGCCCAGGCTGGCCTAATCCTCCTCCCAATTGCTGAGATTACAGGCATGCACCACCACCAGGCTCAGCCTGAAGTTTAGTGTAGGTTGTCACCAGTTTTCACAAATGCATGGAGCTGTGTAACCGCCACCAGAATAAAAATACAGCACAGCTGGGCACCAGTGGCTTACGCCTGTAATCCTAGCTACTCAGGAGGCTGAGATCTGAGGATCATGGTTCAAAGCCAGCCTAGGCAGGAAAGTTTGTGAGACTCTTACCTCCAATTAACCACCAGAAAACCAGAAGTGGTGCTGTGGCTCAAGTAGTAGAGCATTCAGCTTGAGCTGAAGAACCCAGGGACAGCCCAGAGTTCAAGCTCCACAACTGACCAAAACACACACACACACACACACACACACACACACACACACACACACCACAAACACAGCACAGTAATATGCATTGACACAGTCTCCCTTTTACCTTCAAAGTCAACTCCTGCCTGCTGTGGCAAACACCACTCTTTTCCCTGAACTTCTACTGTTCCAGAATGGGTTCCCCTTTTTAACAGGTATTCAGGAGTGTAGGCTCCTCGAAAGCTTAGTGCTGAGACCCTCCAACAGTCCTCACTCCAAAACTTTCTAGCTGAGTGTGGCGGTTCACACTTGTCATGTCAGCACTGGGGTAGCTGAGATAGGAGGAACAATAGTTTGAAGACAATCTGAGCTATATAGTGAGACATTATTTTTAAAAAAAAAGGGGGGGTGGGGAAGGAAGGAAGGAAGGAAGGAAGGAAGGGAGGGAGGAAGGAAGGAAGGGAGGGAGACAGGATAGGGAAGGCCAAACCAAGCTTCTCTTGTAAACCTCAGGTTGATAGTGATCACGTGACTGCTGCCCAGGCCTTTATTAGCAAGAGGGGAGAGCCCACCCTCTCCCCCGCCCCCAGTCTGATCTCTCCTGGGTGGACTTTGTTTCACTTGGGAACTTGCGGGAGCAGCAGGACCCAGAGCCTTGTTTTCCTCTGCACTTGGCTTCTGGTAAACACCTAATTCCTGGGAGAGAGGCTGTGGTTGCTAGGGGACCAGCACTTACAACCATGGATGCCAGGTGTCTCGCAAGGTCAGGGGCCTTTCCTGTGTGCAGGCTACATGCATGTGCGCATGGGCACATGCATGTGCCCCACCCCTCAGAAGGTTGTGGGGGGGGCGGCTGACCTGGGGTCACATGATCTGCGGTCTGTCTGATATTTCTAAAAGAAGTCAGCCTAGGACTCGAGTCTGGCCTGGTGAACCTGGGGCTCCCAGGTAGCCCGAGTCCTGACCACTTCCACTTCCAGCCCCGGGAAGTCTATGGCTTCTGGTCCCTGGGAACCCGTGAGATCCTCACCCGCTTGTGTTGGCCCCAGGTCGCACAGCTGCCCCTGTTTGTCAGTGATGGCAAGTGGCACCACATTTGCGTGACCTGGACGACAAGGGACGGCCTGTGGGAAGCCTTCCAGGATGGAGAGAAGCTGGGCACCGGGGAGAACCTGGCACCCTGGCACCCCATCAAGCCCGGGGGCGTGCTCATCCTCGGGCAGGAGCAGGTACGTGTCTTGGGGGTCACTGGCCCCAAACCGGGTGACCTAGGGGCCATCCCAACACTGGACCCCCCTCTCCCTGCTCCCCCATGGCTCCTGCCTAGTGCAGGGATGCTGGATCAGGAATCGTCTAGAAGCTACTTGCTCATGGTCTTGACCCTGGTACCTAGTTGAGGGCTGGCTAGGAAAGTTCTGAGCTGCTCAGCCAGTGGGGAGAGGTGAGAACAGGGAAACTTCCATGAGACACTTGCACCAAGGTGAGGAGGCAGGATGATGGCTGGCAGGTGTGAACCAAAGTCAACCTATGTTTGAAGTTTGAAGATGGAAAGATGGACACAGGGAAGGGTGGGAGGGGGCGTGGAGTTATCCATTATTTCTTCTAAGAGGCATCTGGAGTCAGGAGAGCCAACTGTAGTCCTAGCTTTGGGCATATGTCTCTCCAGCCTCAGTTTCCCCTGTAGGAGATGGGTGATTTGGGGAGATCTGTCTGAGAAGTCAAGGAAGTGTCAGGCCTGGCCACCCCTCCCCCCTCCCTGGAGAATTAAGAGCTTGTGGTGAGCCCGCCCTAAGAAGGATGCCCTGTTTCCATTTCCCAGGACACTGTGGGGGGCAGGTTCGATGCCACACAAGCATTTGTGGGGGAGCTCAGCCAGTTCAACATCTGGGACCGAGTCCTGCGTGCCCAAGAAATCATCAACATTGCCAACTGCTCCACCAACATGCCAGGCAACGTCATCCCCTGGGTGGACAACAATGTCCATGTGTTTGGGGGGGCTTCCAAGTGGCCCGTGGAGACATGTGAGGAGCGTCTCCTGGACTTGTAGCCACCCCAAGGTCCCCGAAGGCCAGGCTCAGTCAGTCCTGGTGGGGGTGGAGGTGTTCCAGGCCACCCCCTCTCTTGTTAAAAACTGTGAAACCTCTCACCCCAGAGTGGGACCCCAAAGTTCATTGTGGGAACTTAACACTGAGGCTGGGTGATAGCCTTGGCTCAATCTTTCCTTCCCACCATTTTGGGTTTTGTTGGGGGTGGGGTTGTCAGTGCCACCTTCCTTTGGGAGGAAGCCCCCAGACTCAAGTGGGTCAGCAGCTGGCTTCCTGCCGGGAGTGGATTGAAGCCAGTGAGCTTCTCTCCCCACAACCCCCTGTAAATGCTCATGAAGCCCAGCCCTGCCCTTGCTGTCTTGATCTTTGGTGTCCCGTGTATGCCTTCTGTCTGTCCCCTTTCGTGACTGTGTGCCTGGCAGTGTCCTGTACGTGCACAGCATCCCTGCTGCCCATCATGCACGTGCTGTGCAGGGAACACGGTCTGCAGAAGGACCCCCGCCCTTCCCACCCTGTATCCTGTAACCTTTATGTCTTGAGCATGTGCCAGTGTGGGGGGAAGCAGCTGGCCCTATGTAGAGGACCCAGGAGTACAGAGGGGCAGTGACAGCTGCCATTCTTCCTGTCTGCCCCCCTCTCCCCGAGACCAAACACACACTTTGATGGACTTGTCACTAGGTTGGTTCAAGTCCACTCTTCTCATCTGGTGCCAAAAGTTCATTTGTAGCCTTTCTGTCCACTCAGTGTGTTTGAGGGGATTCCTGTCCTGGCCACCATAAGGCTCCCGTTCCTCCATGTTCCTCCCATTTCTGATCCATGTTGATTCCTGTGAGCATCCTATAGTCCCCCCTGACTCTGTCCCCCAGAACTCCTGAGGACATTGGATGTCATTTGGCCAATGTTGGCCTAGTGGCTCCAGGCTGCACCACAAATTGTAATTTATTTTACAGAGAAAGTAAGTGATGTGGTGGGAAGGGGGGGAATTTATAAAGCTGAATATTATATATTTTATTTTTTCATACCCATTGGAAGCACAAAGTCCACGGACGTGCCCATCCTGACATTGTGCCACAGAGCACGCCTGTGATGATGGATGCTAATTAAAGTGCATTGAAGATGCTGTGGGCAGTGTCTGGAGCCCCAAGGGGGTGGGCATGGTCCTGTGGGTTCTCTGAGTGTCTGACCCCCGGTGGATCCACTCTGCCCTGGGATCTGGGGGAGCTGAGTGTGGTCCAGGTGTGGCCCCTCACACATCACTTCAGGCTCTGCCACTCCTCCAGCAGTCCCTGTAGTATTTTGCCAGAGGGTGGAGCTTCCTTAGCCAGAGGACCCATAACTGGAGTGATCAGCAGAAAATGGATCCCCAGGGCTCTCCAATCTGGTGAAGAAGAGAGCATCAGAGATGGTGGGAGATGCTGATTGGAAAAGGATTGCCATGGAAACAGCGAGTGATCAATGATTCATGAGCAGAAAAGTGATAAAAATGCAGAGAAGGAGAGAAAGGCGGTCAAGGTGGCTTCTTGGACTGAGGAGAAGATGGGGTGAGAGAATGAATAGAGAGGGGACAGGGGCCAACCGTGAAGGGACTGAGTTCAGGTCTTACTGAAAAGTGAAGAAATGAGGAGGTTAAATAAATAATTAGTATGTCAAGGACACTACTCTTGGGCTGGGTGCAGTGGTGCATGCTTATAATCTCAGATGCTGCTTGGGAGGGGGAGCTCAGGATGTCACTTGAGGTTAGCCTGGGAAAAAGTGAAACCCCATCTCAATAAGCCTGGTGTGGTGGCATGCATTTAGTCATTCCACCTACTTGAGAGGCAGAAGGATGATGACTGTCCAGGCTGGTCTGGGTATAAAAACAAACCACTCCTTCTGATCCTACCAGGAAGCAAAAAAAAAAAAAAAAAAAAGAAGAAGAAAAAGAAGCAAAAATGGACTGGGGGGTGTAACACAAGTGGTAGAGTATCTGCCTAGTAAGTGTGAGGACTTGAGTTCGAACCTTAGTACCAAAAAGCAACAACAAAACCTCAAACTCAACAAATGATTCCATCTTCCTGGTGGATGGAGAAAGGACTGAAGGTAATTCTTAGAGACAGAAGGCTACTGCACTAGTTCTGGTGAGAAGAGGTGGGCTGGGCTACAGAGGGGAAGAGGATCTGCTTGGAAGTAGAATCATCAAGACTTGCTGATCTCTGAGATTTTTGAAAGAAAATCAAATGTGAGATTGTTAAGGAGCTTAACAAACTCCTAAGTAGGATAAACTTGGGAAGAAACCCACAGCTAGAAACCTCATCTCCAAACTGTCAAAATCTCAAAAAGCAGTAGGAGAGAAGAGACCGGACTGGGACCAGGCTCCTTAATAAGATTTACGGCTTACCTCTCTCAGTGTCTCTGGAGACCAGAAAGCAGATGTATGGCATATTCAAAGTGTAGCAACCAAGAATCCTACAGCTGGCAAAATTCTTCAAAAGTGAAAGCATTCCTAAATAAAAACACAATGTAGCCCTAGCAGAGTTGACTTGTAAGAAAAACTGGATATAGTCTTTCAAGCAGAGATGGAAAAACATTAGACACCAGCTTACACCTAAAAGAAGAAATACAAAACACTATCAGGTGTGGTGATGCCTGTTTGTAGTCCTGGCATTTTAGGAGGTAGAGGGGGCAGATTTCACACGTTTGAGGCCAGCCTGGGCTAACATAATGAGATCCTGTGTCAAAACATGAAAACCCTCCCAGAGAAATTAACAAAATGAAGAAAAAAGAGAAAGGGATAACAGAACTATAAACCACAATATAAATGGGATTTGTGTGTGTAAGCTTTTTTCTTCAGTGTGATTTAAAAGACATGTGCAGAAAGCTATCATTATAAAGTTGCACTGATAGGCATAAATGTATTAAGATGTAATGTGTATAACCACAACAGAAGAGGAGAAAGAAAATGGAGCTATGTAGAAAGCAAAATGTTTGGTGCTGTTGTAATTAAGTTGGTATTAATCTTGTTATAAATCACGATGTTAATTATAACAGCCAGGCAACCACTAAAAAAAAAAAATCACTGGAAGGAATGTATTCATAGAAACAACAAGGGTATTAAAAAGTTGCACTGTAAAATATCTCCTTAACACAGAAGGAGGGAGGAAGGGATGGAGAAATAAGAGAATACTTAAAAAAAAAAAAGATATATAAGCCATTCAGAAAACAAATGGCCAGACAGCTAACAGAAACCTTATCTTTTCAATGTCAATGTCAGCTGGACATGGTGGCCTGAGTCTGTCAGCTACGTGGGAGGCTGAGATTGAGAGGTTCATCATTCTAGGCTACTTGGAACAGAAAACCCTAGGAGACTCCATCTAACAGAAGAAACTGGCCACGATGAGTGGTATACTTTTTGGGCATTTAAGCTGGTTGAGCTTCCTGTGATTGTGTGTTGGGTGATCGCCAAGCAGCGTCCTCTTCTGTGTGAACTCTCTCCTCTGCTCCTGGACAGAACTGGGTCCCCGCCATGGGGTGTGGTGGCCAGGCTATGAAGAGACCCAGCACAGAATCTGTTAGCCAAATGCACCATAGCAAAATGCTCCCTGCTTGCTGATTGGATGGAGTGATTCCAAGCTTGGAAACCATTGGTTCAGAGAGCCTGGATGGGTGGAGCTATTATCTCAGAGATGATGAAACTCAACCTATATCCAGGCCCCCTTAGGCTGGCCCTGAGACTGGGGATGGTGGCTCTCCCACAAAGGAGTTTTAGGAAATCGGTTTCAAACTTCGAAGATGGTGCTTTGTTTTGTTTTGTTTTGCACAGGGCTCTTTTAACTGTTTTTAGCAAGGAGAAGTACCGTTGGGTTCCTTCCCCACCCCCAAGCCAATTTACAAGTGGCAAAGATATAATTTAATTACGATGATTAATCACTGGGTCAGGGCCTCTGTGGCCATGGTGAAATGTTCTAGGGCCCCTGTGTTAGGATTGGGGGAGTCCAGAGGTGTCAGTGTGTCTTGTTTCAATGAAAAGTGGCCTCCAGCTATGTGTGATCTGGATCCCACTCTGTGTGTGAGGTGGGGGGGGGGGGGGGCACGCACGTGCAGGTGTGCTAGTCGTGGAGTTTGAACTCAGGGCATGGATGCTGCCCCTGAGCTTTTGTGCTCAAGGTTAGCCTTCTAGTACTTGAACTACAGCTCCACTTCCAGCTTTTTTGGTGGTTAGTTGGAGATGGGAGTCTCATGGCCTTTCCTGCCTGGGCTGGCTTTGAACCTCCATGTTCAGATCTCAGCCTCTTGAGTAGCTGGAATTACAGACATGAGCCACTGTCGCCCAGCTGAGCCCCACTGTTATTAAAAAGCCATGAAACTTTGGTAATAGAATCATGCTAGTAGTGAGTTTAGTACAAGGGTAAAAGTTGGCACACTTTAACCTAATTTGGGATAAATTATTTCAGTACATTTTTATTTCTGATTGGGTCAAATTGTGGACCTCTATTTAAAAATACCTCTTCTCTCCCATAATCTTGTTTTCTTCCTTCTCCCTCCCCTTTTCCCTCTCTTCCTTTCTTCTCCCTTCTCCTACCTCTCTTTCCTTCCTCTCTTCTACCTCTCCCCTCCACCATTTTTTTTCCAAGCCAATTTATAAGTGGCCAAAGATTTAACTTAATTCTGTGTTGGAAGTCCCTGGCCCACTGTGAAATCTTTGGAGGTGACAGGGACTCCATTATGGGGAATTCAAGTGTGTGCGCAGGGGCCTCAGCCCCCCTCAACCCATAGTAAGACATAGTCACATCTTCATTCCACCTGCCATCCGAGCACTGAGGAAACTGAAGCAGGAGAATCCGGAGTCCCAGGCTGACCTGGAGTGAGACTCGTATCTCAAACAACAACAGAAATTGTGCGCAAGACAATTGAACTTACTATGGATCTCTTGATCGACTCTGTAGTGTTTACAAGAATGAGAATTCCCCTTACCTCGCAGCTAGTAGGAGAGACTATGACAGTCAAGTCCGCCATTATGCAAGTTATAGGCTCAGACAACCTGTACCTGGGTAAGTCTGGGGGCAGGAGGAGCATTTGCCACAATGACTGTTTTTTGTTTCCTGGACTAAGTCCTGATCTTCCTACATCAGCCTGCTGAGGGCTCAGGTGACAGGAGTGTACCACCGTGCTAGGCACACAGTCATTTCTTTAATGAGCCCTTATTCCACATGACCCAACCAAGGTGAGCTGAGCTCAGCAAAGCTGTCCTGTTCTCTCTGGTTGTCATTGCAAATACTCACAGGCTCATTTGACAGCCCTGTTCAGGCAGAAACCGGTCCCAGAGGAGTGCATTGTCACTGTCACACACAGATGAGCGTGCCCTGGGGACCACACAGCCAGTCCCTGGATTTCTAGGCTGAAATGGGTAGCACAAGGTCTCCATGAGAACAAAAGACTCAGGTCTCAGCTAGCACGGTAGCTCACGCCTATAGTCTCAGCTACTCAGGCAGCAGCAAAGATAGGAAGGATTGTGCTTCAAGGCCAGCCCAGGCAAAGGGTTGGTGCGACTCCATCTCAACAAACCGAGCCTGGAGGCATTCATCTGTCATCCCAGCAACTTCGGAGGCCGAAGGAGGAGGATCATGATCCAGGGTTGGCTCCAGGCAGAAAGCAAGAGACCTCATCTGAAAAATAGCTGAAGCAAGAAGCTGAGGCCTGGGAGGGAAGGTGTGGGACATGTAGTAAAGCGCCATCCTGGCAAGCACAAAGCTCTGAGTTCAAACTCCATTACTCCAAAAAGAAAAGATGAATCGTTTGCAAGAAATATGACACCTATTTTGTTCCAAGAAAATCTCATTGTGAATCACCCTGAATAAGCCAGCCTCACTTTCACTCATTTGCACAGCTGAACGAATTTAATCCTCAAGGAACAATTGTATATCAGCCATTCAGCTAAAGGAATATTTAGTTCCTTCCTCCTAGGTGCTGTTCTAGGAACTCGGTTGACATCAGGGAACAAAAGAGAACAAAGATTGCAACTTGAGAGCCTGGCGTTCTGCGGGGAACAGAGGAACATGGCTGCCGGGCTGATGAGTGAGTGCAGTACAGGATTTGTCAGCAGTGGAAGGGAAGGCTCTGGAAAATGTGGTGGGGGGAGGGGGA